AAGTTTTAAATTTTTTTTATGCAAAAAACATCTTATTAATCGAGTATTTAGATAAAACCATTAATTTCATAAGATAAATTTTATTTTTTTTAATAATTTAAATCCTAATATCCCACGGTTTTTTATACATAAAATCTCATAAAAATAATTTTTGTAATTAGATCATACTCATAATATTTTTTATTACTTTGCTATTCTTTGTTAAGGATAATTTTTATTAATTTTATGTAATTTATTCCCCTAATAAATATTTTGATAAGAACATTAAAAATAATAGTTATTATTTGTAATATTTCGATGTAAAAAAATTTGTATAAAAAAAAATTTCGATAGGATCACCAACTTTGTTCACACCCATATCTCTTCCATCTAATAAAAGTGGATAAACAGAACATGTTAGCAAAAATAAAATTTATATAAAATTAATCTTTATAGTTTTATAAAATAAATTAAAATATTTACCAGAAAGTGAATAATTATTGTGAAATTAATCTAAAAATTGTAATTATACAAAATTAAATCTATGCATTGGAATTTTTTCATCGTCCCCAATCACCCAAACAATAGAATTTTGGAAAATTGAATCATTATTTTGTTGTTGCTGACAATGCGTGCGATATTGCTTCTTATTTGTAACGACTGAAAAGTATCTAATTGAGTAAACTTTTCCTTCAATCAATTTTGAACAAAATTGAAGAACAAAGTTTAATTTAATTGAGGCATGAACGTAATTACCCTGTAATTAAAAATAAAAAATTAAGTTAATTTTATGACTTAATTAAGCTACCTAAATCACAAAAAAATTGTTTTAATCATAAATTAATTGATAAAAACTAAAAAGTTCATTAAAAGATTTAATAAATGTAAACAATTTATAAAGATATAATACCTCCTCATCCAATAGGATCATCAGGCGAGAAACTCGTACTTTGATATTCCAAAGATTTTTGCTCGAATATAATTCTTTGATTAAATTAGATCTGCATGTAAAAACAAAATTCAGTAAAGAAAACATAAACATATAATCATTAATCCCAAATAAACACAATCTAAGCAATAATCACAAATATACATTTAAACATGGGTTTTAAAAATTAGGCTAAGAATTACCCAGCCATTGATGACCTAATAAAACTGACACCAAATTAATGACACAAAATTTGCTTGGTTTAGTTTTGTATTGATACGAAATTTTGTTGGTGTCATATGATGCGTCAATTTATAATGGTAAATATCACAAATTTTAATTTAATTATAATTATGGAATAATTTTTATTTCTTATCATAAACACTATCATAATTTATCTTATAATAGTAGGTATATAAATCCTATATCTAAAGATGATTATTTAAAAAGATAATTTTTAGTTTTTTAAATAACTTAAATCCTAATAAATCAAAATTCGTTGTTTTTACTTACGTGGAAAAATTTTAAATCTCATTCGTCACTTTTGTTTCGGTGGCAAACGAATTTTTTAATTCCAAAATAAAATAGAAATCTAAATTTTAATTGGTCGAAAATATAACTTTACTTATGTGGCGCGTCGAATGCTCTCCAAAAATGTCTACTTTATTATTAGATTAGATTTTGCTATTTATTTTATTTTGTGTTAAAGGGTGAGTTCCTAATTTGTTCCATTGCCAACATCTGTTATAACAAATTGGTATCAAGAGCTAGGTTGATGCATGGGGGATTTTGGGAATAAATACAAAGTAGAATTATTTAATGGGAAGACGAATTTTTTTTGTTATGGCAAAGTACGGTAAAGGTATCGAGATTTGTGGTCGAGACAATGGGTGAAGACATAGTTGGAGGTTTTGTAGTTTTGTCCTTTAAAAAATTACATGTAGGAGGGTTTATAGTTTTGTCCTTTAAAAAATTACATGGTGGAAGGTTTATTGTTTTGGCCTCAAAAAACTAATGATTGGTTGATGGTTTTCTTGTGACTTTTCCGGTGCATAAAATCACTAGTTGGAGTCTCCAAAAATGAACGAGGGAAATCACTTCATGGATGGAAGAAGATGTTCAAGTTCAAGGGGAGGCATTCGATCGCGGGTTGATCAAGTTGGAAGTCATGTTGGGTTTGAGGGGAGGTTTCTTAGGATGACAAGCACAACTAGAGGAAAAAGATCGTTGGTACATGTGGATGTTTAGACGTTTAGTAAGTTGAGTTTAAGGGAAGGTTTGTTAGGAAATAAACTAAACTTACCAAATACCAACAAGATTTGTTTTGGGAAAAGATATAATGTATTTTTTTATTTATTTCTATCTTTTATACTTTCCTAGTTTGATGTGGGTTGAAATTAGGAAACTAGATAGATTGTAGGTATGTATAATCAATATAGGATTATTTAGCCTTGGTGAGCAAGTAAAATATCGTAATTGATGTGAGTTTCTTAGTTAGCCTATATAAGAGGGGTTAGGCTAACTAGAAAATTAAGATGGTTCATCAATGATGATTTTCCTTGGGTTATTGTCTTATTTTGTAGGAACTTAATAAAACAATATTGGGGAGGAAATCAAAATTTCTTCATAAATATTTGTCTCTTTTATTATCGTATTTTGCTATTTATTATATATTGTGTTTGAGGGTGGGTTCCCAAATCATTCCATTGCTAACATCTGTTATAACATATTTTATATTCATATCTTATATAATTTTTTTTTTGCAAATATATACAATACATCTATTTGAACATTATTAAAAGGTTATGTCATTGCTATCCACTTATTAGCACGAGTATATTTTTGTTTTAAAATCAATTAAGCGAAGAAAAATAATAAAAACCCTACATTTAAAATTTAATCAGACAAAACAAATTAACATTTATTGATAGACTTCATTGTATACTTTCTTGTATTTCAGTTTGCACCATTTGCCTAAAGTCATCATCAATAGTCAATTGTAATTCGTCCAACTTTTTCTCTAGATATCTCTATCAATTAGAACTAAGTAGTAGTAAATTGTTGTTGCATTAATTCTATACATTATATATTATGACATTTATATTGGTAGGCTCCATCAGTCCATCACATTGCACTTTGCACTTTGCACTATACATCACTGAATTATCATTGTCTAACTTATTTTAAGCTATTTTTGTAAAAAAAGATATTATATATTTATTCTTATAATGTTCAATTTAAGCTTAGAACACCATTAATGATAGATAGACTTGTAACTCTTACTACTTGTATCGTATATATAGTTGTATAGTAATTTAATCATTCCTTTTCCTCTTTCTTCATGCCCTTTGATTAAAAACTAACCCTATTTTCTTTCATATAAATGTTAGAGCATGCATCATCAATCAACGATATATACTCTTGTTCAATTAGTCATTTGCCTTCTAAGGTGTTGAGAATAGTGATGAACCTAGCTCACAACATGGAAGTCCAGCTCGTCTTCAGCCCCAAATAGCCTAACAGAATTCTGTTATATTATAATTTCCAGTTGTATTTTCCTGCTTTGTTTTTTCTATTAAATGCTGACTATTTAAGTCATGCAAAGCTGTAATAAATTCATTGTAATTACTCTCAACTAATTCTCTCTGATTTTTTCTTCTTCTTCATTCGAAACCTTTGTACAAATTCTGAGTTTTAAGCTCTTTTAATGGCGAAAGTGAAGTTTTAACATGGTATCAGAGCAGGAATTTCGATCGGTTCTTCGTTGGTGATTTTGGATCGGAGTTCAAAGAAGCTTTCATTGGTGATTTTTCTTCAATTGGTTTGTTTTCTTTCGTCGCCATTTTTGAGTGTTTTGGTTTGGTTCTTTGATTCAAATTGTTTGAGATTGATTAGTTTGGAGTTTTTTTGGTTTGGTGGATTCGATTTGATTGACTGAGATAAGCGTTCTGTGTTTTTTGAGTTTTGCCTTCTGGAATTATTTGGAGATTGTTTGGATATTCTTCGATTGAGATTTATTGCATGTAATTGTTTTCGATTTTCTTAGATAAATTGATTGGTTGATTGAAGTTTTGGTGAATTGATTTCTTGAAATTAGATAAATTGGTTGAAGTTCTTGATTGATTGGAAATTTTTTGATGAAGTAATTGATTGAATATGGATGAAGATCAAAGTTTTGATAGTCAGAATAGGTCTTTGGATCTCACTCAAGATCCTAGTACAGTATACTATATACATCCATCTGATAACAATATACACAAATTCATCTCTGAGGTTTTTGATGGTGAGAATTATACCTCTTGGAAAATATCAATGGTTATTGGTTTATCTACCAAAAATAAACTGAGTTTTGTTGATGGAAGCTTGAGTGTTCCATCATCTGTTGATTCTTCTTATAAGGCTTGGGTCAGATGTAATGATCTGGTTATTGGTTGGATATTGGGTGTTTTGGGACCAATAACAAAGAAGAGTGTATTCTTTTATAAAACTGCTGGAGAGATTTGGAAGAATTTAGAGGAAAGATATGGTCAAGTTTCTTTAACTGAACTATATGGTATTTAAGAAGAAATTACTACAGTTCATCAAGGAAATGAGGAGATAGCTGAATTCTTTGCTAAGATCAAATTTTTATTGGATCAGTTGGATGATGTCAATCCTATACCAGTGTGTACCTGTAGTGGTTGTGTTTGTAATGTTACTAGAAAATTTCTCAAAATACAACAAGATTACAGACTGCTGCAGTTCTTAATGAAGCTGAAAGATGAGTACAAGCTAGTCAGGAGTAACATTTTGATGATGCAGCCTCTTCCAACTCTACCTATGGCCTGCACGATGTTGTTACAGGAACAGAAACACAAGCAAATTAGTGAGCATACTACTACTCCTACAGAAGGGTTTGCTTTTGCAGTAGATATAAGAAGATTTTATGATAATAGAAATCATAACAATGGAAACAAAAATGGTAGTCAGTACAACAATAATAGAGGTGGTTATCAGGGAAATTTACGGGGAAATCAAGGAAGCTTTCAAGGAAGAAACATGTCAACCAATTTCAGAGGAAACAAGTCTAATTTTTTTTTGTGAGTTCTGTAAGATGACAGGTCATTTGGTTGATAGATGCTACAAACTTCATGGTTTTCCTAGTGAATCAAAGGTGAATAATGGACAAAAGAAATTTGCTAACATGGCTCATGCAAATAATGCAAGAAAATTTGTTGATAATGGTGATGATAGTGTTATTGCAACCTTGTCTAGAGATCAGTATACTCAGTACATGAACTTCTTGGAAAGTCCTAAGGATGCAACAGTTGCTGCAATCACTCAGGAGCAGAATAACTTCAGAGCAGCTTATTTTGCAGGTAAATTGTGTCTTCTTTCTGTTTTTGGTACTGGATAGATTGTTGATAGTGGGGCTACAGACCATATTTGTAGAGACTTAACCTTGTTTGATAGTTATAGAGCCTTAGGATCTGATGAGGACACTATTACTATACCTGATGGAAGAAAAGTGTTTATTTTCCATATAGTTTCTGTTACAGTTAGACAGGACATAGTGTTGAAAGATGTACTATTTGCCCCTGATTTTCAATTTAACCTAATATTTGTCCATAAACTCTGTAAGGACCTTCCATGCATTGTTAAGTTTACACCTGATTATTGTATTATACAAGGTCCCACCTTGACCAGGGAACTTGTTCTTGGTAACCAGAAATCAGGCTTGTATCTTGCAGATTGCAGTCCCATTGCAAGATCTCTTTAGGATAGTTTTCACCTAGCTTCTGCTGTAAGTAGTAGTAATTCAACTTCTGGTTGTACTTTGAATAATGATGCTAAGCTTTGGAATCTTAGGCTAGGATATTTACCTTTTGAAACAGACAAGTCTTGTTTTACCTAGTATAAATGTGAAAGACTGTGATGATAACATTTGTCAAATATGTCCTCAAGCTAGACAATGTAGAATACCTTTCTCTCATAGTCAAATAAAAACTTCTTTTCCTTTTGAGCTCATACATGTGGATATTTGGGGACCTCTTAGGTTTAAAACTCACAAAAATTGCTCTATGTTTTTTACTATTGTAGATGATTTTACTAGACACACTTGGATTCACTTATTGAATTTTAAAAATGATTATGTCAAGATTTTGATTGATTTTAATTGTCGTTTTTGCTGAGAATTAACATGGTTACAAAGTGAAATGCATTAGATCAGATAATGCCAAGGAATTGTGTGAAGGAAAAATAGCTGAGTTTTATCACGCTAAAGGGATTTTACATCAGACTAGTTGTAGTGATACACCTCAGCAAAATAGGGTTGTAGAAAGAAAGCATAAGCATCTTTTAGAAACAACTAGAGCCTTGTATATTCAATCTAAAGTACCACAAAAATACTGGGGTGAATGTGTTCTTACTGCTGCTCATATCATTAATAGGATGCCTTTGTCAGTTTTACATAATTTTTCTCCTTATCAGAAACTTTTTGATAGGCCACCTGATATTTCACATTTTAGATCTTTTGGCTGTCTATGTTAGTTTCTACTAACAAAGTGGGCAGGACAAAATTTGATCCAAGAGCAGATCCATGTGTTTTTATTGGATACTCACCTACACAAAAGGATACAGAGTTCTTTATTTAGGTGACAAACACATTTCGGTTACTAGAGATGTTCATTTTTATGAACAACATTTCCCTTTTCATGTTCTCAATACAGACAAACCTCCTTTTTAATTTTTTCTACCTAATGAAAACAACAATCATATTTTCATTGATCCTTTTGTAGACTGTACAGAAGGATATCCTGTTCATAAAACCACAACTAATATTAATTCCAGACAATCCACACCCAATCCTAATCCTAATTATTCTCCTATAAATATTTCTACTTCCTCTCATTTTTCTAATTCTTTTCCCTCTAGTTCAATGTCTAATTCTTTCAACACCACCAATTCTTCTTCTTTACCTTATCCAATCATTCCAAATTCAGAGATTACTGACATTCTAGACACATTACACTCTGAGCCAATTTTGGAGCAAAGACAATCTTCAAGACCAAGAGAGCCTCCTAAGTGGATGAAATATTATGTTTGTAAACTTCCCACCAAATCATCTTCTCATTGGTGTAACTTGGTTTTCTACTCTGACATACCTTGTTCTCATAAACCCTTGATAGCTCAGTCATCTTCTCTGTCTGAGCCAACTACATAAAAAGTTGTTGCCAAACATCCTGAGTGGATTTCTGCTACAAAAAAAGAGATAGAAGCCCTTGGAAAAGAATAAAACATGGGACATTGTTGATCTACCTCCTGGTAAGAAGGCTATTGGTTGCAAATGGGTCTTCAAGATCAAGCTTAGGGCAGATGGATCAATAGAAAGATACAAGGCCAGATTAGTTGCAAAGGGCTACACACAAAAGTTTGGTATTGATTATGAGGAGACTTTTTCCCCTATAGTCAAAATGACTACAATCAGATGTGTTACAGCTTTGGCAGCTTGCAAGAAATTGGATATGCATCAATTAGATGTAAATGATGCTTTTCTACATGGAGAACTCAATGAAGAAATATACATGACTCTTCCTGAAGAAATGAATGGTCTTCCTAGTAAGATCTGCAAGCTGAAGAAATCCTTATATGGCTTAAAACAAGCTTCCAGACAGTGGTTTGCTAGGTTGGTTGTTGAACTGAGAAAGCTTGGGTTCTCTCAGTCTCATAGTGATGCATCATTGTTTATAAAGAGAGTTGTTGGGAAGGTCATAATTGCAGCCATATATATGGATGATATTATCTTGACAGGGGATGGTGTTGATACAATATCTGATCTCAAGTTTCATTTAGACAAGATTTTCAGCATTAAAGACTTGGGAAAGCTAAGTTTTTTCCTGGGAATTGAGGTCAGTTATATGCCAGATGGTTTTCCCTTAACTCAAAAGAAGTTTACTCGAGAACTTTTGCTGAGTGTAATTTTCCTTTGAGAAAAAGTGCAGTTACTCCTTTGCCTCAACATCAAAAACTTGCAACTGATGATGGAGTGTTGCTTTCTGATGTTACTCTTTACAGAAGTTTGGTTGGAAAACTAAACTTCTTAACAAACACCAGGCCAGATCTTTCTTACAGTGTTCAGACTTTGAGCCAGTTCATGCAAAATCCAAGAACAACTCATATGGAAGCTCTTCAACATACTCTTAGATATGTGGCTCACACTACAGGACAAGGGATTTTGTTAAAAGGTTCTGATGCTCTTACTTTGCAGGCATTAATTGATTCCGATTGGGCATCATGCTCTGATTCCAGGAAAAGTATTTCTGGTTATGTGTTGCTACTTGGTTCTTCTCCCATCAGTTGGAAGTCCAAGAAACAACCAACAATGTCTAAATCATCCTCAGAATCAGAGTATAGGGCAATGGCCTCTGCTGCTGCTGAAGTTACTTGGGTAGTTAGGTTGCTGTCCGAACTTGGTGTTCTAATTTGCAACCTGTCACACTTCATTGTGACAACTAGTCTGCTGTTCATATAGCCAAGAACCCTGTCTTCCATGAGCGCACCAAGCACATAGACATTGATTGTCACTTTACTAGGGAAAGATTTCTTGAAGGGCTAATTCAGTTGACTTACTTGCCAACAAAATCACAGCTTGCTGATATTTTTACAAAGATCCTTCCTTTAGCTCAGTTTGCAGAGTTGTTGTCCAAGCTTGGCCTATTCATTCCACAGTCCAGCTTGCGGGGGGGGGGGGGGTGTTGAGAATAGTGATGAGCCCAGCTCACAGCATGGAAGTCCAGCTCGTCTTCAACCCAAAATAGCCTAACAGAATTCTATTATATTATAATTTCCAGCTGTATTTTCTTGCTTTGCTTTCTCTATTAAATGCTGACTATTTAAGTCATGCAAAGCTGTAATAAATTCATTGTAATTACCCTCAACTAATTCTCTTTGATTTTTCCTCCTTCTTCATCGAAACCTTTGTACAAATTCTTCTGAGTTCTAAGCTCTTTTAATGGTGAAAGTGAAGTTTTAACATAAAGTGTAATATTGTGTCCTGGTTACAGTTTCTTAAATACGCCTCAGGTATTAATTCATTATGTACAAAGTTAATTAATGACATAACATGTTACAATTCGATAAATTATTATGAATGTTAGGAACTATTTCTAGTTCCTGCTTAATTGGTTGTACAATAAACGTACGTGTCATCTTCGACAATGACATAATTAAGTTTGAATTAACAAGGATTTTCAATATATATGTTATCACATATATATATATATAAGGATTTTCAATATATATATATATATATATCTTGGAAGGAAAAATACTCGACTAAACCATGGGTTATTGCTCATCTTTTGTTTTGTACCTATAAAAAAAAAAATAATAAAAAATCGTGAAATTTATTATTTAAATTTTAATAACTTCGTGATTTCTTCAAAAAAAAAAAAAATAATAACTATGTGATCTTTTATCGAATGTCGAGGAGTCAATTTTTCAAATTCGTGGTTGGCCACCGTGGCGATGATCACCAACGGATCCTCGTGAGGGAACGTAATCCCCCGGCAGTCGGCGGCTGTGAACGTCATGTTCGGCACCGGCGACTGGGGAGATTGAATGTCAGCGTTGTTCACCTGGTGAGTCAAAGCTCTAAGGTGTCGCTTGTGCTCCCTCCGAGAGTATATTCCTCCCGAGATAACATTGATCGGAGGGAATTTCCCCTCCGGCTTTTTACTGTTTTTCCGGGGGAAGTCGAGGTCTTGCCGAGAGTCTTTTGCTGACTTCTCGGATTCTTTTTTCTCGCGGTGATCCGCGATGTATTTTTTCAAGTATCCCTTCCGGACCATGTCCTCTATCTGGTCCTTCGGTTGGATACACTCCTCAGTGTTGTGTCCCGAAGACTCATGGAACTCGCACCACTGATTTTTATTTTTTCGCTGATACCACTCTGGGAGTGGTCTCGGCTTTCGGTAACTCTGCTCTTCCTTCGTCACGCTGTAAATTTTGGCGCGTGGAAGAGAGAGCGGAGTGTAGGACTCGTATCTGCCTGTGTATGAGGCAGATCTTTCCTTCTTTGGGTCGCTGGCCGAAGATTGCTCCGAGGCCTTTGACTTTCCCTTTGACTTATGGCCTTGGCCTTCAGACAAGGGTATTTGTCTTTGTTTCCCTCCCCCAAATTGAGGTTGGGTTTTCGCTTTGTTCCATTCTTCGGCTCGGATGAACTTATCCGAGGCATTCAGAGCTTCCTCCAAGGTCTGCGGGGTATGCATGACCATGAAGTCTAGGAACTTTCCGGGCTGAAGGCCATTCTGCATCGCAAAAACGGCTAGCCCCTGGTCCAGCTGAGAGACGCTGGATGACTCGTTACTGAAACGGGTCAGATAGTCTCGGAGGCTTTCGGTTTCCCCCTGTTGCAGACTCATGAGTTCTGCAGTAGTCTTCTCTCGGGGGTTTGCCGTGGAAAACTTGCTCCTAAATTTGGAGGACAGATCATCCCACCCTGTTATGGAGCCTTGCTTTACTCCCTTGGAGATCCACGCTTGCGCGACCCCCTTGAGAGTGGTTGGGAAATATTTGCACCAAGTCGCTTCGGATCTGGGGCAAAGATGCATATGAGTCTCATACGAGGCCACATGATCCTTCGGATCCGAGGTCCCATCATATGTGATGTGCGACGGTATTTTAACCGTGGGCACGCGCTCTTCCAGTATACATTGCTCGAATGGTGAACTGGCGGGTAGCATAACGGCCTTGCCCTTGTTCCTGGCCGAAGGGACCGCGCTCCGCCCTCTTAGAGAGGTAGGAGTGGTTTTCGTCCCTGGCTGGGAAGTCTGGGCCTCGGCTGCAGGGAACGAGAGGCGACTGCGCACGCTCGATTCCTTGCCGCCGAGTCGGTCGAGGACGCTTCGGCGAACAGTCTCAGGTTCTCGGTGAGTAGATTCTGGCCGAGAAGCTGAGCTGCTGCTCTTATGCATTTCTGGTCGTGAGGATGAGGATCCTTTTAAAAATTGAGGGTTCTTTTTCCTCTCTTTTTCATTCTTCCAGGTATCCTCTTCCCACTCTTCCAGTTCCCGGAAGGAAGGAAGCTTCCCACCATCATGGTCTAACTTCCTCCGCTGATGCCGGGTATGCGGAGGAGTTCGATCACGAGGTAGTGGCATATTTTGTGCCCTCATCGCCTCCATGAGTACTGCCAGCGCTCTTGCCACCTCTTCCGAGCTGGGCCCCGTCAAAGGGGTCCTCGGCCGAGTATGGGAATGAGGGCGCACAGCCGATGGTTGGCTTTGGGGCACTGAATGTGTCCTATGATCGGACTCACCCCTGCTAGACCGAGAGTGACTCGGCCTATGATGAGAGTCATGAATTACGGGAGAAAGGGAATCCTCCTTATATGATCCTCCCCCCGAGCTGGCACCCTTGGGAGAGTTCCGGTCCGGCGAGGGTGATGGTGTAGGGATTTTAGGCTTTTCGCCCGCTCCTTGACGGAGGCTTTTGCTCTTGCGGTTCTTAGCCATTGCTACTAAGATAATTGCAAGATGATCTTGGTTAGAAATTTGGCTTAAAGATTTTTGAAAGTCTTCCCCACAGACGGCGCCAAATTGTTTCGGGTGAAAACAATGGGACCTTGCCGAAGGTCCGCTGAAACGGAGAAGACTGGATTCGGTCCAAGTTATGTTGGGCCGAAGGTTTCCTGCACAGTAAACACACGTAAACTAGCCTCGGGGGTGTTGCCGAGGAAGGCCCCTCCGATGCTAAAGTCAGTATAATGTGTAGAAAGAGAACACTATGCAAGAGAATTTGTTGCTTGAGGCTTTTTTTTGAGTATATGAGAATATATGAATCTATGAATGAATCTCTGAATATATGAATATTTATGGCTTTTATACCTCTTCATACATGGAGAAGTTGGGCCTTAGCCCAATTGGCTTGCTTTGAGGGCTGACCTTTGACTTTAACACAATTGGAGAGTTGAACCTTGACCTTGGGCTTTTAATTGGATCATTTAATGCCTAGGCCCAATTGGACTAAATTGGACCCAAACAGTACCTATAAAAAAAATAATAATAAAAAATCGTGAAATTTATTCTTTATTTAAATTTTAATAACTTCGTGATTTCTTCAAAAAAAAAAAAATAATAACTATGTGATCTTTTATCGAATGTCGAGGAGTCAATTTTTCAAATTCAACTAAGACCTCCAAACTTTTAATACTCGATCAACTTTTATTAACTCTCAAACATATTCTGGTATTCAATAACCTCCATAGTTCCACTACTAGAAAAATTTTATTAATAATAAAAATCGAAAATGTACCAAATTAATATACCTTGTCGTCCTTGTGCATAAACACAATAGCACAGATATGTTTTAGTCGTGATAAAACTTAGAGAAAAAGACTAGACTTTCATACAATTGTTACAAACCGCGATACCACCTAGCTTTATACAGTTGTAAGTTAAAAGGGTGACATTCAATTAATGTCTAAGTTGTTGTATTAATTGCTTCAGTAATGCTTCAACTTTTCTTTTCTTTTTTTCTGTTTTTTTTTTTTTTTTTTCCTTCCGAGAGTCGTACGATAAACTAGCTACAGTACAGAGATAGAGCTCCAAAGTGTTGAGGTCACGTGCCAGTTCCCGAGAGAGGAAACTGTTAACTGCAAACCCAAACTGAATTTGCCGCCAACAAGTTTTGTGCAGTTGCATCGACCTTCTTTCATTAATCATTTCACTAATGAAAAGATATGGCCAACTTGGCTAGTATTTCATTATTTCACTCTCTTTTTGTAATAAATTAATTATTTTCATGCAAACTTTGAAGCATAGTTAGCTGTTTTAGAGTGGTACTCGTATTATCTTTCTTTTTATGTCATCCTAATAAGATTATATGTAACATTCAAGTACAATGGGTTTATGAGCTTCTTTTAATATTTCATCATATATTATATGAGACGGAATTACAATAATTTATTGTAGTTCAAAATCAAGAGTTTTATGGGAGGTCTTGATGCACAATTGCACATATTGACCTATTAAAACTATGTTGTTATTAAGATTTGACCATAACATTCACACCTTCTAATGTTAACACGATATAATGTAAATATGTAATTATTGGATTCCCTACAAGACAATGAAGTAGGAAAATTCGTAATTGCTCTATATTCTACTCCTTGTGATTTTGCTTTGTTGCCTATCCTCTACTTTCTTCCTCTCTTTCAATTCCTTTGTCTACCTTACCATAGCTACCACCTATCCAAAATAGGATAGGGACATATGTAGTTTGGATTAACTTATCTTGTTTATCGATCAATTCTTAATCAGTTATTGTCAAAAATCACATGAAAATACTGAAAGTTTAACGATTTATGATCGTTAAATAAAGTCATTCGAATTAAAATAGGTCACTACAAAAGTATTTGTCATTTGTATTATACATGCACAATATTGGTCATATGAACATATATACTAGAAATTTGTACTTTGAGGCAAGTATAATTAAAAGTGAAAATTAAATTGGTTTACAACAACAAAGAAATTACATTTTCATGATAATAAGGAGGAAATTTGCATAATTCATTCTTCCTCTAGGTTAAGGAAACTTTCTAGATCATCTTTTTTATATATACATGTCCTATTTTGGGTTGTCTTTTCTCAAGGACCACCAAGAGGCCCAATTACATCATCAAACACCCTTGGATTCGTTCTACCCTTGTTTTAACATTAGGATTCAAGCTGACGGTTAAACCTTGTAATTGTATTTTGTAGTTACCTTCGGTAAAAGTAATATTTTTTTTTATATTCAAGTACAAAAAAAATAAAAACAAATTAAGAAGGAAATAAGTTAAACAGAGCTAATAAGTTAAATTCAGCAAAAATAAGTTAAATTCAGCAAAAATAAAACATCGAGATTAAAATCGACCTTCTAGAAGGTGTCATCATAGACTCATAGTTATCACAATCTATACCACTAGCTACACTACAATACCTCCTTGATACATTCTTATCTCCTCAAACTTCAAAACTAGATAAAGCTTACAAATTCTAATGGAAACTAATCTTGAATAGTTCATACATCTCATCAAACAAACTTTTACCTAGAATTATCATACATTATACCCCACGTCCCCACCCCCAAGGAGGTAACGTGATAATAACTCCTATAAATAAATGCTTTTTACTAGGACACTCCAAATATACAACCAAATTTACAGTAGTTTAATAAGCTAAAACAAAATACTAGTACAAGATAAAAGAGAGTAGCAAAAGAACTTGTACTTTATTTAACAAGTCATAAGAAAAATGGAGTTTTCATGTTTTTTAGTGGACCAAAAGAGGGAAATGCAAAGCCAAAGGCCGGTTGCGGGGATGTGTTCGCGGTGTGGTGCGGCGGCGAGAGTGGCGGATATGAAGACGGCCACCCGATTTTGTTTCGTCCCTTTCTATTTCAAGTATTGGAAAGCTATTATTTGCTCATTTTGTGGTGCCACCCTTAAATCTTATGGTAATTAACTTAAATTAATACTTGTAATATTCTCATGCATTTCATTTTAACTAATTAATGTTACGTAGTTTTTTTTCTTTTTATTTTTTGTATAATTTAATATATATCCTAATGTATTTGTTCTCTTTGTAATTTTAGAATAATCCTCATCTTGAAGTTTTAAGTGTGAATTGTACGTTAATTGCAAAATATTACTTTGTATTAGTTGTAGAGAAGAAATAAAATCATGAATTTAGATAGCCGAAATGGGATATGTAGCGCAGTAGCGTATTGATTGTACATGGTATTGTGGTTAATGTTGTATTGTGTTATAAACTTGATAGAGAATATACCAACTCAATTAAAAGTTTAAATTGATATTTGAAGTGTTTGAAATATTTTATATTCTATCTTCTTTTTGAGCGTTTAATGTTCTCATTTTTTGTTTTGGTTGGGGCCGGAGGGATAGGCCGGGTGGTAAAATCAAAATGAGAAGTATAGTCGATTAAAAAGAGAGATGTGGCCAATTGATTAAGGACGTCCATTCCCGTAACAAAAGGTCACTCAAATGTATGTACGAATTGAAGTATATTCTGCATGGGTACGGTTCAAAGAGCATATCATTTATATCAACAAATTAAATCAAACTTGCATTATTCAATTTGTTGTAGAGTTGTAGTGGCGAAGAATATACTTGTATGCTTCGTAATTTGGTACTTGTATTCATCTACACATAGCATATAATTTCAGCAAGTACTAAGCACAAATTATTAGCTAGGCGAACTTGTGTAGTTGTGTAAGCGAGCCAGGTTGGCGGAGGAAAGTCACAGGTCCACCTAGCACGGTAGTAAGATGTAGGCACGGTTCGGAAAGAGGTCAAAATCGCTCTAAATTTTTTTTAAAAAAAAAAAAAAAAAAAAACAAAAAAGACCGGTGAACAAAATACAGAGTAGCTTAAGGGATGGCACATCCACTTGGCAAGACATAAGTCATGACACAATACAACACGATACAACCTTCACGAATCATGCCACAACCTAGAGGCCATGGCATAGTCCTAACGACCCACTACCAATCTGCCACGCATGTGGTGAGTACCTGCTTTAAGTAAATATGAAGAGTACAATTCATGTTCATAAAAAAAATCCTAGGGATGAATTCTTTATCTCCTCTAATGTAGCCTAATTTAGAGCTTATGAAATATCTAGTAATGTATACAACATGATGCAATTCATAGTGCAGAACAAAGTATACTTAAAACTCCAAAATTTAGCATCCATACCAAAACTGTTAAGTTACCTTTATAGCATAATAAATGACACAATCCTCTCCTTTTAGGAAGGATTGCCAACAACCATCATAACTTCTACTACCAGAAAAGGGTTGTACATTTATTTTCAACAGAATGCTTATTTTCAAGAGAAAATAATTTCACTAAATAAGTACTTGTATTATAATTCCCTCTATTATTTCAGAGTAGTGTTTCTAGTATGATTGCTTTGTGGTACTCTATGTGTCTTTGAAAGATATACCCAAATTTTATTTTTTGTTCGTCCATTTGAATATTAATATTGCTCCATTTCAATTTCGTTGATATGGTTTTGACAATTTCTCTCTAATTTGTTGCTAATCCCACATGTTAATCTCCAAAAATATGTGCTCTCTCAATACAACTCTTGATAAAGTCAAATGTGAGAGTTGAAACTTGAAACAATATCAAGAGTGAAATATAGGGATCTAATGATAAACTCTCCTAGCGATTGGTCAAGGAGGGACCAAGGGAGTTAGTGATGTAGCAATATTTAAGATCCTATGTAACTTTGATTTCATTCTATATTTTAAATTACAATATGATCAAAATTGAACTTGTAGATTATATAAATGTATAAATAATGCAAGTAAAAAAGAATGAAATGACCATGTTGTCAAAGGTATAGTCAGTGTCGGGGCTAAAATTGCAAATTATTTATGGGATCCTGTTCAACTTTTCAAAATGGGGCCTTTTACTCAATAAATTTAATACCCAATTTTTATTTGATAAAAGAATTCATTACATCAGAAAATTCGTCAAAATTAAATTAAAATCCAAGAAATCACTTAAAAAGAGTAGCTCTTTTTGCATGTTTTGTAGCAAAATCATCGATGACATTCTCTATATCGACTTCATCTAAAAGATCAAATTCAATTGCCATCAAAACGAGTCCATTTAATCTTTCTTGTGACATGGTCTTCCTTAAGTACGATTTCAGCAACTTTAACTTTGAAAACTCCGTTCTGCAGAAGCAACAGTTGCAGGAATTGTTAATAATATCCTACATGCAGTTGTTGCATTTGGGAAGCAAGTATATCGTTTTAAAAAATTTAATAAATCAATATTGCTCTCATTTTCTCCTTGGGTTAAAACTCTCTAAACCATGTTAACTCAACAAATAAATCCTCTCCATCAACATCAGAAACCTCACCTTTCTTAAGAGCACTTTCAAAATTAAAACAACAAGATAAAAGTTTCTCATCATCCATTGCATGCAATTTATCAGAATTGAACAAAAAGCCAAAGATATTCTCATACGATTCATATTGTTCAAACCTTTTTTCCAATGATGCAATAGTTTTGATTAGGGGATTTTTATCCACCAATCACCGTCTGACAAGTGGACCAACCAGGTTCCGCCACGTGTCCTTCACGAAGGCCAACAGGAGCCTGCCACGTGTCAATCACAGATACGTCCTCTACGGACCAATTTAGACACGCCACGTGTCCACCCATGCCAAATGGGAAAACCGGCCATCAAGGCCCAATTTAGTCTAGAGGCCCGATCAGCCCTAGGTTTACCTTAAACCTAGAGAGTGGCACGCTTCTCAAGGCTATAAATACTCAATTAATCCTCATTAATTAAGGAGGGAAAAAAGTAATCAAGCAGAGAAGAACAGAGTTATTACGGAACATCAACAACCGGCGAATCTCGCTAACGACGCAGATTACCAACACTAAGCACTCTCACCTAGAGAGATCTCATTACTTTAATTTCTGTATTAATCACTCCTTAATCAGGTACTAACTTGACCGTTGGAGGCGGAGCTCTCAGGAGTCTCCGTTATTTTGCAGGTACAGGCGTCCGGTTCCAGTCTCGGAATTGTAACTCTCCCGCAGGACATCAGAAAACCCTGAAACATTTGGCGCCGTCTGTGGGGAGAGTACTTCAGAGATGGCATCCAAGTCTGTACCGACTCCAGAAGAGAGGCGTCCCCTAGACGACCCTCAAGTTCAGTCGGACCATGATACCGAAAGTGAATTTGAAGTTGAAACTCATACAGCTCCAGACGGGACCCTAAGGGCCCGACGTACCCGCCATACCGAAAGGAGAGAACGGGAGCATCTTCAAACAGGAAGCGAGCCAGCAGGCGCACCGCTTGCTCGGCAACAGCCGACTGATGGGTCTACTCCCATCACAAGGAACGAACTCATGACCTTCATGAGGGACTTCAAGGGAGAGATTCAAGAGTTGATCAACAAAAAACCGCCTGCTTCAGTCAAAGAGCAGTCGGCCAAGAAACCTTCCACTTCACTGAAGAGGAAGCCAGTTCAAGGGCGAGAGGCGACTCCCCATCCTAAATCCAAGAAACGGGAGCCACCTGCCCTTGATTTCACAAAACTCCGTTATCCTACGGGAAATAGGAAACCGGTTCGTCATATTCAGGCGGACGGGTCAAAGCAAACGTTCACAGATGCTCGGCTCCTGCTAGAGCAGAAGAAGAGTGACCGATTATCAGAGTCGGCTTCTACTTCAAATTTTCAAGACAGTTTGCGAAATGCCTCAATGAGGCATACTCAGTCGTACCATGAGAGTCAGTCAGGCGGCACCTCCCGTCAGTCCGGCTTTCATAGTGCCCAGGCGGTACCAAACTTACCATTTGTGCCGCAACAACAGTATTTTATGCAGCCACCTCCATTTGGTGGACCTGCAGCAAAAAACGTCCAACCTATGGACTGGCAGCTACGGCTGCTTAGACTTGGTGAACAGCCGTCGGCCTTCTCCAAGGAAATTACTGAAGCCGCTCAGCCGGCCAAAGTAAAAAATGTTCTAGTAGGCGCCTATGACGGCACTACTAACCCAGAAGACCATCTGATGGCATTCACCAACCTGATGTACCTTCAAGGGTTGGATGATCCCACTTGGTGCAAGTGTTTCCCAGCGACTCTCAAGGGAATTGCACAGCAATGGTTCGGCAACCTGCCGACTGGTTGTGTAAACAGCTTCAGGACGCTTGCTTACTTATTTGCCTCCAACTTCGCTATGAACATCCCTGCGAAGAAAACGACCCTTGATTTGGGAACAATTCAGCAGGGCGAGAAGGAGGGGCTTCGTTCTTACATCAGGCGGTTCAACCTGATGAGAATACAGATTCAAGGGTTACCGGATGAGGTAGCTTATACTGACTTTTTTAGAGGTCTCAAAGACGGGTCTACCTTTAAATTTGATTTAGTTCGAAAAAGGGTGGCGACTCTTCAAGAGGCCTTGATTGAAGCAGAAGCCTATATACAGGCGACTGATCTGTGTACGATAAAACAGTCGGACGGGAAGAGGTTCGACAAAAGAGAGGGACGACAGAAACAGTCGTCCAACAAAGATGAGAAAAGAAAAGAGGTCTGGGCGGCTGACTCCTCTAAACAGCCGACTCAGAAAAAGAAAAAAGAATTCAAACCATACTCCCCAAAGTATGTGTTTAACAAGGATAACCAGTTTATCCTAAAAGAAATAACGGGACGGTTCTCAATTGAGAAGCCGCTCCCCATGAAGGGTTCTGCAAGCAACCGGAACCAAGACAAAATCTGTGCTTATCATGATGACGTTGGTCATCACACCAATGACTGCATCAGTCTCATGCGGTACCTAGACCGCTTGGCTGATCAAGGTGATCTTGACACTTATGTCAAGAAATCTACGGGGAACACTTCCTCAAAAAAGCAGTCGGCCAAAAAGAATCAACAGGCCGATAGTTCCGATACAGATGATGCAGTCGTCTACACCATTGCAGGTGGCTTCTCAGGAGGCGGCCCCACTATTAGGGGCAACAAAGATAATATAAGGCGGTTAGATGTAAATTCCGTTCACCAAGAACGGCCTTCCAAATATACATTTCCTGAGATTGTCATCACTGAAGAGGATCTAGGAGGAATAAGGGGGCCGCATGACGACCCTCTCGTTATTGAATGTAAAGTGGCCAACCAGAGAGTTGGCCGAATCCTCATAGATACCGGGAGCTCCTCAGATCTCATCAGCAGCAAATGTCTGTCAAAACTGAAATATCAGACGGACTGCATACATCCGGCCTCCCACCCTTTAATAGGGTTTGGAGGAGGAGTCGTCCACCCAC